CCAAAGACGGTCCAGTACCCCTAGGGAGCAGAACACCCACGCAGACTCAGGAAATTAGAAATGGGTTTTCTCTTCTTCTTGGATTCTTTTAAGCCTTAGGAAGAGCAGAACTGTCTCAGTGCTGAGTATCCCATACAACACAGCTTCTTCCACTGAGCCCCAAAAGGAAATGGGCCAGCACAGAAGAGAAATCAACAGACAAACAACTGGTTAAAGCTATCATGATGTATCATTTATTTCAGACTTTTTTGTGTGTGCAGGGACATTTCCTGACCACCTCTCTTCCAAAACATTCTTCCATGGGTGGTTTGAATGACTTTTCCTATTCCTTTGAGAAGTAACACAGTAATGATTTATGAAACTTTCTAACTAGAGGGAACACACATGAGAATCTGACGTGACAACACTGGCAACACACCAAAGACCCAGATGAGGGAACACTAATGAATCTGTTTGGCATCAGAAGTCGTGCTGTTGGGATAAATCGATTAACAGTTGTACCTGCCATGATCACAGATCCTCTACTTTCCCAAAACCCCTAACTGGTCTTTCCAAATGACACTCTAAGAAGACTGAAAATACCAACTTTTAAAGGGTCAAGAGATTTCTCAACCATGAGTATGTAACAGAATGGTTGTGCGACTGTCCTCCAACTCCTAAATTAGGGATAAAGATTTTCACGCCATCCCATCCCTGTGTGCACATCATAAGTATACTCTGTTTACTTGAGCATCATACAGAAATGACTACCTAGATAATTCTGAAAGCACCAAATACCTTAGTTTTCAAATTTTAATATACCTAAAAACTGTTTTTGAGACACTGCTGAGATTTGAACCAATGTCCTCTGTTGACCTTGACCAATCAGTCATTCCTCAGTATTTAAGCCCTACATATTCCATGTGCTTATACAGCAGATAAAAACTAAAGAGTTTCAACAGTTTAGTTTCTGGACAAGGCAAGGGAACTGACTCTCTCCACTGAAGTGAGCAGTTACACAACTGGTTAACACAATGCATACACGTGCTCTCGCTGTAGAATCCAGCTTTTATTCAGTTCACTGGTTTGCATCTTTAGGAGTTTGACAGGTTTTAGTGTTCAAATATAAATTTGGGATCTGTAGAAATCACTATGGAACTAGCTCCATTCTTATGTCAGGTATTCGTTTTAGTTGGCTTAGTGAACTGCAAATTTCCTTTGGTGAGACTTACTGAACAAGGGACCCTTTGTAGAAGGCGGCAACACTAACCTTTTTATCTGAGCTTACAGAACCTTTAATGTGGGACTTGCAACTTTACAGCGCTGTGAGATTTCCTTTTGCGCTCCTCGTAACTCCAAACCCGGGGCCAAACTCTACCTTTACTTATCCCCAACCAGTAACTCACATCTCAAACTGCAGTTTGCAGAACAAATACTTCAGGTAGCATCAAACCATCCATTTTTCAATTAGAAGAGCCACAAATGCTCCAACAAGAATGAATAAACTTGAGTTCCATGTACATTTCATATTAATTCCAGTCTCTTTTAGAACTGGAGATTCAATGCAACAGATATGCAGGTTCTGCCAACTCTGCACGTAAATAAACGGAACTTGCTGATGGCACGGGAACGGCATGATGCTCTTCTCCATGCCCAGCACCGTCAGTGCAGAAGCAAAGAGGAGTGGCTGCTTCAACAAAGCTGTGCTGCCAAACAGCTGTACACAGAGCTGCTGCCCAGAGTCTCTCTCAGAGCAGCCTGCAGAAGTTCAAAGAATCCAGGTGGTGCTGCACTGGCTGACAGAGCTTTCACAACCAAAAGTAAAAAGCACACAACAACGATAATAATGAAAAATTTCATGTGTTCATTCACAGAAAAACAAAACAAAACACTGTTCTTGCTTCAACTGTGGCTCTAGCCTGTAAAGCGATTATGTATGAAGGAAAGAATTCAGTGTGACTTTCAGCTTTCATGAATTAGCAGAGGTTTCAAATGAAGAGGAAAAAACAAGGTCTATCTGAGTTACGGTCTGCCCAATCTGGGAGCTGTTGTCACAATAAACACGTAACCCATGACGTATCACCCATGTATATTTTCACTGTCAAGCACAACAAAGAGAGCAAGCATCCTTCGGCGCAAAAGCCCCATGCACAATCTCCCCCTATGGCATTCTGTTCTGACACATTATTTGCACTAGTGTGTACCCAGGAGCTACACTCATGAGCAAGCACAACGCTGCACTCAGGCACAGAACTATCCTCCCCATGAAGTTTCAATTAGCCTTTCAACTCAATTACGCTGCGTAAAAAAGAATCTGGGATACTAAATACAAGATGTCATGTTTTATAAGAAATTTAATAATATTATATTTTATTTTTCCTATTGACATTTAGTTTGGTTTTGAATTCAAAATACGAAGCCAAAAAAGCAAAATAAATTATCCTATGAAAGTTAACAAATTATTCCATTGTTTTTAATGGCACTGGGCAAATCCCACTGAATTAGGCATGAATTTGTCACATAGGCAATAAAGAACTTAAGACTGATACATTGTTCCCATTGTAAATCTTATTTTTAGAGGTTACATGTTAACATTTTAAATTAAGTCCAGGCTTAAACTGGGAATATGCAATTACTCCACAAGGGGAAAAAAAAAAATAAGGAAAGGTGATTGACAACTTGATCTGCTTTTCTGACCAATACTAGTTAAATAAGATCCTTTATGAAATACTTGACTAACCTGATAGCTCTGTCTGATCAACTGCTGTATGATCTAAGGTGCATTTGCACAAACTCCTCTCAGCCTGCATGCATCCGAACTGATGCCCAGGGGTTTGGAAAGCCCTTTCGCAATTTGAGGGGTTACCCGCATTTACCAGAGCCTTTGCCACCACCAGTACCATAGCTCCCGGGGAACTGTCAGCATACAGGTTACCCCAAGGCAAAGAGAAGACAACCTTCCCGTCACTCTAGCCATTTTAAGCCCTGCCACTAAATGCCATATAAACGACGTAAAACCCGAGTGTTTTCATTCCTAAGAACTGTCCGTCCGCAGTTTGTGACTCCCCGGGGGATCTGTGTGCCGCTTCTCGGAGGCATGCAGAGGGTGCCGGGGCAAAGCAGGACCCGCAGCACCCCGCGGCGCGACACTCCCCGCGGGCTCCCCACGCTCCCGGGGAGCTGCCACGGCTCCGTAAAGG